CCTGTTACGGCTATCGAGTTTGCACTTCTTTACCACTTTTATATATTGTGTTCCGAACACGTGACCTGGATGGTTCCGTTCGCTATACAAAACCTTAAAAATTTCAGCATCGATACCGCTTGTGAAGTCATAAAATTCATATCCACATAATACAAAATAAAATGATCGACATGTGGGATGTACAGTTCTGCCATCGTGGATTGCAACAGATACCTGAGTACAGTACGAGATGAAAGTTTATAAACTGCGGCGAGTGCCGAACAAACAATGAAACAGTTCCATGAAGGAGAGTCTTTCTTGGGAAGCTAGTAGTCGCTCAGCTGTGCAAGGAGTTGTCCGTCGTTTTGTGGGTTATTGCACGACGCTGCCTGTCTGGACTGTACATCATCTAGGGTTAGGATGATTCATGAATAATGAATTGGAGAGGATTTGCATAGAGACCAAGGAGAAACGCCAAACCCCCAGACACAGCGGCCGGTGCTCGGGCCAAGATTCGATTCGAGCACCTCTCAAATACGAATTAAGATCATGACCACTATGCTAACCCGCCCACTGTGAGTGCTACTGCAAAACCGAGCGGATACTGACGGGATCCGGCATGCGGCTGCTTGCAGGGAGGCTGAGGTTTGTTGGCATCCACAGACAAATGTACATGTCAGATTTGAGGTTTTCACTGCGCTGACTATGAAGAAAGCAGTCTTCTGGGATATGGCGCCGTGTAGATTTTGTGTTAACCACGTTTCGGAGGAACGTATCGTCTCCATCTTCAGGGTAGAAGAAAGATGAAGAACCAGCGTGAGCGGGTGCAAATAGACTAATGTCTTCAAATAAATATACAGCTTAAAAGTAAAGCTGTCCCTGTACTTAATTAAGCGCCACATCAAAAAGGCGTATGGCGGGAGTAAAGATATAGCCGCATTCATTCTTAATTTCAGGACTAGATGGACGTGCGTGGTCAGCTTCACACCCTGGCTGCTTTACTCCCCCACACCCTACCAATTTAGCCCTAGAGATGGTCTGGACTCGTTGTGGAAGATGGAATCTCTTGCCCCTTCCAGGAATCGAATCCTGAGCCCTCGGTTGTGCAGCCAGCAGCTTACTCGCCATACCGACTTAGCTGGACGTTTCGCAGCAATGGATATGTTGTTTGGAACGAAACTTGGGCGCCGCAGATGTTGAGCGGAGCGTGGGGCAGGAACTTCTCAATTTCTGAAGAGTTCGCCTCGGTTTTAACAGTACACTGCCCTTCAAGGGAAGCCGCGCTGCATTCTTTGTGAGAAGAAGGGCGCGAACGCAACAAGGCTGGCATGTAGCTGCAGAACCGACTAAGTACCACATGCAAGTTCGTGTGTGCTCAAGCAAATAATGTTATAGTCTGATGTTGCGAATTATTGCACATTTTCCTGTGGTTCCATTTACGTCTCTTGCGCTTGCGCACACCGCCAGTTGAAAATCTTACCGCTTAGTGCCACCAGATGATAATCGTATGATGGATTATTTGTTACTTAATTTAGTGGCACTTTATCAATCACGTATGTTAGTCTGAGTCGAGTGCATTAACGGCTTAACTAATGTTTGAAAGTTTTGAGGTTTTGAGGCGATACGTTCCTCCGAAACGTCGGCCAAAACGAAGAATACACGGCGCCTAAACCCAGAAGACGACTTTCTTCATAATGTTTGAAAGTTAACCATTTTCAGAACGAACCTCACTTTTGCCTCTACTCTGTCGGGCAGAACAGAATTAGCTTAGCCCTTTAAAGCATTGTGGTTACTATATATACCACATGCTTTAGCATTAAGCAACTGTCCATTCTGCCCACACAGTGTATCTCTGTGTTCCGTACCGTTCCCCGAAACAGCATTAATCGGCTTCTCTTCGTAATAGAGACGCGTTATGTTTTCTGTGGGGCTGGAACTGGATTTGTAAATACTATTTAGATGAATTTCATGCTTCAGAGGTTTAAAACTGCCTTGTGCCGACAGCATGGTCCCCCGGTGGGGTCACACGCCTGGCCAATCAATCAATCAGAGCCATGACGCCATTGCAGCATCCTGCACCCTGAGCAAATTGTCCTGCAAAGTGATTTCGTTTCACGTCATGTCAGCTTCAAAACGAACGTACAGTGGAGGAGACCAGCGCGACTGGGTTATCGTGTAAACATTAGGTCACCGTGAAGCGAAGTTGCACGTGGCAGTCCCTGCCGTAACCTGCATAACAGTCACATAGATCGGGTTATATAGATAGTGCCTATGGTCTTCAGTTCTGCGGATGTGCAAAGCCGCCGACAATCAGTCTCATCCAGAGATTCCAATCAGAAACACTAAGGGCAATTGCAGACGCGCCACGGTATGTGAGCAACCTTAAGATACCCTTCGTCAAAAATGAAATACTAAGCATGGCTGAAAGGTACAGAAACCAAACTGTAAACCGTGACAACGAATTAATAGAAGAGCTATACAGCAACGTCCAGTGACAAGAAGGCTGAACAGAACATGGGCCCAAGACATCATCACTCAATGAAATGGACTACATCTTGCAAGCTAACCACGTACAACACATTTACTTAATACTCTGTAATTATGTAGATTGTAAAGAAGCATAATAAGCATAATACTAATAATATAAGTAGTTCTACACTGTGGCACTTAAGAGGCTGGGTGCACTTGGTACGGGTGAAGATGATGACGAGTGTGGAACACTCGGTGGAATGAGAATTGGAAGGAGAAACCGAAGTACTCGAAGAAAACCTGCTCCAGTGCTACTTTGTCCACCACAAATTCCACGCGATCCGACCTGGGATCGAACCCGAACCGCCGCGGTGGGAAGCAGGCGACTAACTGCACGGCCTCCGATGTTACGTATGTTGGCCTATTTTATTTACTGATGATGAGACCTTAATTGCATGTACGGAATAGTCTCTAGGCTCGTTTGTGAAGCAGGTGACGTGCGAAGACAAGAGGAATGTTTGTAGGAAGAAGACGCTAGGGCAGAGATTTGTTTCAAGAAGCAGCAGTAGCGGGGCGCGTGTCTAGGTGCTTGCACTTACGCACGCCATTGCTGGCACGCATTCCCGCACCAAAACTGCCGAACCGTCTTAGCGCACTGTCTGACTGCTCGAACACAACTAAAAACGAAGTAAATCACAGCGCGGTCTGGTGTACAAGAATATCGTTATGTTTGCTATAAAACGTGCGGAGTTTGCGTGCTCTTATTTGCTTTTCTTTGGGGGGGGGAGTAAGGGCGAAAGAATTTGGCTTGGACTCAAACCCATGCACGTGACAGCAAAATTAACAAATCTCTCGCCGTTGCCTGCTCTGCCTTTACCGTTTGGCTAGTACAGGTGTGCTCGAGAGGATTGCGCAAGGAAGAAAGAAGAGGGCAAGACCAAGAGTTCGATGGATACAGAGAATCCGTGATGCAGTTATGCAGAAAGGATTAGGAGAAGAGTAGTGCGTAGACTGAGAAGAATGGCGATTGGTGATGTCGACGTCTGGATCTGAACCTGGACCCATGTGCTCACGGGGTTTGCTGTAGCCACCGTCGCGCAACGTTGGTGCTAACGGGCCAGGTCAGTTCGCCTTGAGCCAGTTGCGACTCGACATCCACCGCGCATCCACGATTCACTTACAGGAATTGTGAACAAAGTCCAACTGCGATCTTGAAACAGTTGGGTAAAGCAGCCAGGAGCCGCCGTCATCCATCTCAGTCCCAGTTTTGCTCAGGTATACCCCAGGTGGTACGTAGAGCCAAATTTGTTTTTGTGTCTTTCTGCTGCATGTTTGGCTTTCCCATGGTTTCCTGCCGTGTTGGAAACGATGTCAGTCTGTTCACATGGAGTAAATGGAAAGCAGTTGAAACGATTTTCATGAAATTTGGTATTGGGCCGTTTAGCTGAGAGGTGCCGACATGTCGACATGTATCAGTTTTGGTGAAAATGCAACAATAATAATGGACACTTTACATGGAGATATAAGAGGCGTTTCGGCGCGCATCTTGGGTGTAACTCGCGAAATGTTTAGAACGGGCGGCTGCAACAGGCATTTTGTTTATGTTCAGTACTTGCTTTTCCCTTAAGTTCTGAGACTATGCGAGTTACATAAACGAAAGGGATCTCTGCGTTGTATCATCACATAACTCGAGAGACGATGTACAGATTTGTATCAGATTTTATCCTGGAGTTCCTCCCCCCCCGCAGTGTGTGCTGCGCTCTATACAAGAGAGCACCAGAAGGTGGCATTCACGGATTGATAAGCTGAGCCTATGACGGAAAACGTGCCAGAGTTACTGGCCTCTGCGTACATTTCCTAACTTGTTTGCTGCATGTCCGCTGAACTGTGTAGGATGCGCAGTGCATTTGCCCGCTTCTGAGTGGTGCCGTGTATGTCCAGATATTGCGTAAGAAGGAACTAGTTATCTAGTGCTGTTAGGATAGTGAAATATAGGCACAGAAACCTACGGCGTGGCTAGGGTATGGGGAGGTAGGAATGAATGCAGAATTTTGGTAGAGAAACCTTTCAGAAAACGTTAACTTGGAAGACCGGGAAAGGGATGGGATGGGCCGTATGGCTGAAATAAATTGTGAGGTTCGGAGGTGGAAGCGCTCCAGTGGCGGTGCTGAGCAGAGGGTAATGACGTGCATTACGTGCCGCCACTGCAGACCGCTGACGGTCGATACGTGACGCAGCCAGTCACACTGTTCCGTCCGATTTCACGATTACATATTGATGCCATGTTACGTATCTGTCTCAGTTCGCACTGGGCGGAAGCGTTTTGCCGACCGCCTCTCTCCCGTCCGGGCGTCATCTTCTGCTTGGCACGTGCTCCTGCAGAGTGTCTCACGACCGTCACAGCACTGAAACAGACGGACGCCAAATTATCCTTACTTACCGTTGCGTTCAGAAATGGCGCCTTGGGTTTGTATTCTGATGGTTTTATGCATGAAACACAAATCGCATTTGCGCCGTACAGTCTGATATGCAACAAAACATCATTTTCTTAGGTCACGATGAGATCCGAAGACAAGAATGACTGCGCTGCCTAGGGCCAGCAGCAGTTTAACCGAACCGAATCTGGTGTGGTATCGTAGCAACCAGAGCAGGTCACGGTAGCCGAGCGGTCTAAGTCATATGCTCTCTTCGCTCTCGGAAGCCGGGATCATGGGTTCGAATCCCGCACAAGGCATGGATGTTTGGTGTGAGTATGCGTTTATTATGTGTTTGTGTTGTCCTGTGTTTAGGTAGAGGCTTTGCGACGAGCTGATCACCCGTCCAAGGAGTCCTACCAATCTGTAAAACATGATCAGTGAAACTGAGAAATGAGCCCCATGCTCCAAAAGTGGGAGCTAGAGGGGAAAAAGATAGGTACTGGGTGTGTACACTTGTGAACAATACGACATTCCCTGTAGTTAGAGCGTGGCCCCTTGGTGTACCGTATTTCAGCGCTGACTGTACAGTGTGATATTGCAAGATTCCCTGCCGAGGATCGAAACAGAACAAGGTAGTGAGTCGTCATTAGCGGAGGATCTGCATGACCGACCACCCCCCTCACCTGTTACCACCTCTCCGTAAAAAAGAAGGAAACAGTCGCCATTTTCAATTATCTAGAACGTGGAAGCTCCAGGTTTCTGTCTGCTCTATGAGCCCCCGAGTGTCATTTACATTGCTTCGTTTTTGTGGTCATTAGAGAATTCTACAGCTCACCGTAAAAGCGATACATGAGAGCACGGCCCTAAATAAATGAAATTAATGCGTTGCCACGTGATTGAGTGACTAGAGACGGAGTTTGGATTAAAAGCAAGCTCCGTGGCCTGTAGTCCGCAAGCGAACTATACCGATCGAGTGTCCACCGCATGTCGGCGAAGTTAGTGCCAACTTTAGTGGATAGAGGGTGTCGCGTGGTCAGCGCAATGAATCCCCACGGCCGTTAATTTCGGTTTTCTAGACCGGAGCCGCTATTTCCTTGAAATAGCTCCTCATTTATCCTCACGAGGCTGACTGGACCCCGTTCCAGATCCACCACTTCTCAGAAAATCTGGTAGCGCCGGGAATCGAATCCGGGACCTCTGGATCTGTAGCCAGGAACTCTGACCACTAGACTACAGAGATGGTCGGGGTTTGGATTGGTAATCGGATTTATTGAACACTTATGGAAAGTAACTACAAATAACTATGACAGTCTTACTGAGCTACACACTCTATAAAGATCACTGTAACTACAGCACACAAAGTCTTCTTAGTCTTCACTAGTCGTTGCTTGGTAAGCGACTTCCAACATCCGATGTACCCCTTCCTCTGAGTTCCCGAACTGTCGCCGGCCTCAGCTACCACGCTTCTCACATCTCTGAAATATTAATCCTCGTTATAGCCCCGGGACGGACCGCACAGAAAGCATCTCTTCCGTTATTGCGTGTTCTCTCGTTCCCGCTGAACTAACGTTTCTACGTAGCTGTTCCCTAGCAATGGCCGTTGTACTGCTGCCTGTTTATTTACTCAGCTGTTACTTGTCAGTGTGCCTACATGCCGCAGTATCATAGCGAAGAGAAGCTTCTGGCCTAACTATCTCAGCTAATAGCTAATAGTTACTCACCTGGTCAAGAAATTTACCAAAGTTTATGGAACCCGAAGGTTCTCCACCGCGTTCACAAGAGTCAGCCACTGAACTTCACCCTGGGTCAGATGGATCTAGTCCACACCCTTTATCTATAACAACCACGCTGCTGTTTTGCCATCTACTCTTAGGTCTTCCCCCCAGAGTTCCCTATCAGAACTTCATATGCATTTCTGATATTCCCAATACATACACATGTACAGAATGTGAATGGGTCGGTTTCATGTTAGCTAGGGGCCGTGCGGGTTTGAATTCTGTAACAATGAAATGTAGTACTCCGTTCTCTTGTTTGTTTAACGACGCTGTCAGTGGGATTTGGAAAGAAGCGATCATGACCTAGTAGCTTGGAGGGAGTGAGGAAAATCACGAGAAAACGTCAGGATAGCCGATGTCCCGAGTGAGATTCGAACCGAGGTCTAGGGGGCTACCTGAACGTGAATCCTGCACGCGCCGGCAACTGTAACTGAGCCCTGCGTCCCGCGTGTTCGTGACGGAATTCAGAAAGGAAATGGAGAGGCGGAGTTCCCCGTCACGGAACAAGGACAAGTTTGTGTACGCACAGTGCGTTTCGAAACGATAAGCTCGCTTAATGCCGGCTAAGCCGCTGCTATTGTTCAGGGATGTTTTACCGTGCCTCCATCTATTGTCTTATTAGCCGACTACGTATTGCAAACAATACTAACATTAACCCATAAGCTTACAGCCTCATTGTTGCAGAAGCTGCTTTCACATATCTCTCTGTATGTTTGCTTAACGTTTCAATATTTCCTTCTAACTAAGGAATAATTACTCTATTTGTTTTGTCTGCAGAGTTTCTCACGCTATGGCAGTCCTTTATTTCTAGATATTTCCTTTCATCTTCATGAAGCAACATTCTCCGCACACCGCCTCAGATACGGCGGCAACCCGCAGCTCGCGGACCAGGTGTGCCCCACTGCAACTCGCTGACTGCCTTCCCCGATCCGTCCGTGCAGTTAGGCTGGATGTCGCCCCTCCTTCCTGATCCGTGAGTAGCATTTCTACTTCTCATTGGGGTGGGGTGGGATTGCCGGGAGATAGGCCACTGCCACTTCCCTCCACACCCTTCAGAAGCGACAGTTGTGCAATCATCCTACCACTGGCCGCTGTACTGACAGCATCAAGGTCCCCCCAATGTGACGCAACAGAGCGGCACTCGGACACGTCACAGGCGTGTGGCTGTCCTTTCAGACCTCACATCCAGAAATGCCAAGGAATCGAAAATAAAGAAGAAGAAACTGACGTGTTCTGCAGGCTGCATGTTGCGAGAGTTCAGGAGAGATGTCGGCTCCCTGGAAGTGTGTAACATGTAACCGGGTATCCTGCCAAGGGCATGGGTTGCGTGCGCTCCAAGTGAAGCTCTTGAATGTCAACTTCTCGGAACAGGGTCCTCTCTCAAAAACTGTTAGTTAGAAATGTTCTTCGTTTTACGGAACCCGGATGTTCATTACCGTATTTACGGAAGCCCGACACTGGCCCCCGTTTTCAGACAGATGAATCCAGATCACATTCTCACACCTCATTTCCTTGGGATACATTTTAATATTATCTTCCCATCTACACCTAAGTTTCCTGCTTGTCCCTTTCCTTTAGATTCTTGCAACTGAAATTTTGTATAAATGTCTCATCTCTCCGATGCGTGCTACGTGTCCCGCCCATCCAATCCTCTGTTGGTACTGTACCCTCGCTGTTGTCGGGCAGCAACCCTGGTTCAGCCGGTTGCCTGTGCCCCTCTGGTGATGGTGATTGTGGGATTCATGTGTGCGCCTTGCAGCAGGGCTGTCCACTCCGCTTGCCCCCCTTCGTCCCCGAATGTGGCCACGAAACCGGACTGTAGCCCATAGTCACGCTGTGGGAGGCTAAGTTCAGGCGCGCGGTACGGAAGCCAGTCCCTCGCGGCACGCTCCTGCATTAAGGAAATGCTGGCTGCGTTGTGGAACTCATGCGCCATGATGGATTGGCAAGAGTGTTGGATCAGAAGCAGTGATTGATGGGGCCTTGTTTAACAAGTGCGGAATATGTTCTGCGGATCTGGCCAGTATCTACACGTGTTCCGACCCCACTACACGCGCGCCAGGGAAGCAACACGGTTTGTGTGAGGTGTCTGAATAACATTTGCATGCATTGCGGCTGAGATGACAGTGGGCCTGTGGGTGGGTCCGAGGGATGATTTAGAAAAAAAGAGAAAGGAAAGATTCCTCCCCCACCCCGACGCTACGTCACACTTCTCGCGTCGTCTTTACGGATATTATAAAGGCAATGTTACACGTTGCAGTGCCACAAAGTCGTCTCAGCCGAAACGTCTGTTCATTACCTTTGAACGTCGGTTATTTCAGCCCAGTGTCGATTTCAGGTTGTTTCGAACTCGTGAGTCAGTTGACAGATTTCCATGAAATGTGATATGAGTATCGTGCCACTGCATGTCGAGACCGCGCAGTCTTCTGAGGTGCACTACTGCTGTTATAGTAGTTTCGTACATAGGTACCAACGTTTCGGAGGAACTGGTTGCTCCATTTTCAGGGTGCAAGAAATTGAGAGGATAGATGCAGCACATTGTTACGTGTGTAGTGTAACTAGACGGCATCAGGGGACAGTTGTCTTGACCAAATGTTACCCAATCCATATAAACATTTCTCGGTTTGTGTTCGAATTTGTGAGCAGTTCTGCTGGCTCTGAAACACGCTAAATGTGAAGCAGGACATTTACATGCAGACGACTGAGGAAAGCTTCCTCGCGACGTCCTCGTGGTTGGGGCCTGCTAGCGTCAGCATTTCCCAGCGACGCTGGCATCTTGAGTGCAGAGGAGACTAAGCCCTCGAGTTGGTGTCTTTTATAAAATTGCGCTCGAAACTACGCGACATCTCGTCACCCAGGCCATTACAGTGCTTCCCAGGGGAATTATATATTCCCTTCTGTCTCGTCTGTCGACAGTCAAGGATCGCGACCGTTTGATAACCTCAAAGTGAAGACGAGTTGAACACTCACTCTGCAATTGACAGCTTCACGCTCCGACCAGTTTACCTCCCGAGGCTAGGTGGGTCCCACAGCGTCTGGATCTGGATGTCAGTTGCTGCACCGGGATTCGAACCGCAGTGAAGCGCACGTCAGCGCATGTCCATCCGTACATGCGTAACAAGAACGTTTGTGCAAATGAACATGGATTGAATTTAGTATTACAGCCTTTAAATAAATTAGAATAATAAGCGCATTGTTTTACCTGTTGTGCTGTATGGGTGTGAAACTTGGTCTTTCAGCTCAGTAGAAGAACAGACTAAGGGTGCTGTTTGAACTTGAGGGAGAGAAATTAACAGGTAAATTCTTATCTTCACCAGATGGTATTGGGGTTGATGAGACGGGCGGGGCATGCAGCACGCATGGGAAGGATGTAGCTTCCTGTGTCTGGATGTTGTGGTGCGCCTTATTTTGATGTACTGGGTGCCTGCCGTCGGTGTTTAACGTTGTGTAACAGTGAGTTCAGCCTGTCAGCACGGACATCCCCTCCTCTGGCAGCCCCTGTACGATGCAGCGGCTGATACAAGAACCGATCAGCACACGTCGAAATGTCTTTGATATCGCAGAAAGGCTTTCACGGGAAGACTCAGATAAACACTTTGAGCTATTTACATATGTCCCTGAGGGTTTCTGTAAGAGCAGCATGGAGCTCAGTGCTTCTTCGGAAGATAGCAGTCGCTCAGCTGGTCGAGAATTTCCCCCTGACCTTATCTAACATGTTCGCTCTGTCTGCAGTTAAACAGTGCGACGTTTCGGCCGTGGCATCGTATAGACAGCCTCGTATAAATGCAGACGGGCGTATGGAAGCACCGGGGCACTTGCTGCTTCTTCCGGCAGGAGATTATCACCCGCACGTACAGACTGCCGGCTAATGCCAGCCACGTGTTGCTCCCTCCGGATGTCCTGCACGTGCTCCTTGCACTTTCAGTGGGTGGATCTGCCAGCAGTGGTCTCTCCGTCGTCATTTTCGTGAAAGTTCTTCCTCGGTGCTGGATGTCGCGCTTTGTGACGGCATTATCATAGCAACGGACTGCCGAGCATTAACTAACTCTTGGCACGAGCGTAAGTTTTGTAGTAAGTCACGAACAAGCGAGCAGTCTTGTTTCAGCGTATCCCGTCTCTTCTGTGGGTATAATAATATTTTCGTACGGATGTGTGAAATGTGTTTATGTAAAGTACATAAAGGAGACCGTTTATAATGCACTATTTGTGATTGTTATTCCTGGGCGATAGAAACGTCGACAACACGTAGGACCGGAAATGAAGAAGGGAGAGAGCAAGCTTATACAACAAATGATAACTCCCAACGGGCGTTACTCCGGCAAATCTACGAGATCAGCCTCGACGTCTCGCTGAGGGCACGTCGGGTCGATTGACGGCCGATGAAGCCGTCGTGTGTGTCGCGTCTGGAGAGAAAGGACGGTGGCATCTTGACCGTCCATCAGTGCCAATAGAAATGCTTGATAGCTGCTGACTGGAGTGGGTCTGATCGTGCTACCGGCCGGATCTGCCGTTGCACAAACAGATTGAACACTGCAAGCTTGTGTCACTAAGTATTAAGTACATAGGTTTTGCGGGCAGTTGTGTTTGCTGGGACTGGTGACGTAGCAAGGCATACGCTAAGAGTGTTTGAGAACAGGGCGCTAAGGTAAATACCGAGCCCTGAGAGGAGCGGAAAGCTACAAGAGAATGAAGAAAACGTTGTGTAGTGAGGAGCTTCATAATTTGTACTGCTCACCGAATATTACGCATTAGGGTGATCAAACCAAGGAGGAAGAGATGGAAGGGTCATGCTTCTGTGCGCCCGGCAAGGAGAATATAACAATTTATATTTCTGAGTTCGGTACACCGATAGCAAGGGACAGGATTATGAAGATCAACAAGGAGGCCCTACTGCATGACGAGGTTTCCGAACTACGTCCGATTTCTTCGGATGTCTATCTGGCCGGTTTAAAACTCTTGACCCCCTGCACTGAATATAGACACATTGTTTTAACCCTTTGATGCGTAGGTCTGAGTCTGAGTTTTATCTTGCGGCCGATGGTCAGCCGGACAGCCCCATTTGGGGCTCCAAGACCAGATTTTTATTACTGTCAGACAGTTGCGGGTTTGTTGATGTGGAGCGCTGTGACGAGAGGACGGGTATGTCGTTTACAATTGCTGCTGGGCCTCGTCAGCGCAGTCATTCTCGGGTCCGAGTCCCGTGGGACTCGCGACCATACTCGTCTTTTACCTTTTCAGGCTCGAGACTTCTCTCTTCGTCGCCTCCTACGACTCGCAGGGCTACGGTGGAGGTACTCGGCCCCGCTTCCACACGGGTTTTGATGCATGAAATTCGTCGAAATAATATATAAAATTCCAGTTCATACCTCACAGGAAACATTACGTCTCCGCTACAAAGCCCAACCGGTTAATGCTGTTTAGGGAAACAGTCGCTCTTTACTGTGAGAACCGTACGGAACACACAGATACACTGTCTGGGCAGAATGCAGAGTTTTAGTACGTTCAGTCCGTACCTCACAGGAAACATTACGTCTCCGCTACAAAGCCCAACCGGTTAATGCTGTTTAGGGAAACAGTCGCTCTTTACTGTGAGAACCGTACGGAACACACAGATACACTGTCTGGGCAGAATGCAGAGTTTTAGTACGTTCAGTCCGTACCTCACAGGAAACATTACGTCTCCACTACAAAGCCCAACCGGTTAACGCTATTTAGGGAAACAGTCGCTGTTTATTGTGAGAACCAACAATGAATAAATATTTGAAATTGTTCGATGAAAATCTCGCATTGTTGAAAAAATGCTGGAAACCTTTGATTGTCAGTTCGGTGCATTTTTTCCCCAGTTCACAAAACCCCGCGCAAACAACTTGAGGCCGTTTGCCTGACATTTTTTTTGTACGTAAGTTAAGGCCCCTTGTGCTGAAAATCATCCGCAATAACAGTTCTGATTTAAACTGATTGTCCGGTTGAATCCCACAGGTATTACCAACAGCATATTTAGGGGTTGGATGGGGGATGTAAATCAATACGCAGTGCTTACTGCAGCCCCTCACTCGGCGGTGGATCGCGTTACACTAAAACATCTGCACAGCGAGAAGGAGCCTACAGCTCCCGCGCCGCGTCCATCTGAGATTCTGTGTATGTCGGTTACTCTGCCCACAGAGTGTATCTGTGTGTTCCGTATGGTTCTCAATAAACAGCGACTGTTTCCCTAAACAGCATTAACCGGTTGGACTTTGTAGCGGAGACGTAATGTTTCCTGTGAGGTACGGACTGAACATACTAAAACTCTGCATTCTGCCCACAGAGTGTGCCTGTGTGTTCCATGTGGTTCTCACAGTAAACAGCGACTGTTTCCCTAAACAGCATTAACCGGTTGGGCTTTGTAGTGGAGACATAATGTTCCCTGTGAGGTACGGACTGAACATACTAAAACTCTGCATTCTGCCCACAGAGTGTATGTGTGTTCCGTGTGGTTCTCACAATAAACAGCGACTGTTTCCCTAAACAGCATTAACCGGTTGGGCTTTGTAGCGGAGACGTAACGTTTCCTGTGAGGTACGAACTAAAGTTATATATACTCGTATTATTTAGGTGAACTTAACCCTTTACCTTTCGCCTCTCAACGCTTTACCCTGTCTCAATCGTACCTCTACCAGAAGGACGTGCACTGTCTAGGAACCTTCAACGTAAGAAAAATGTTCTGCCCCCTCCACCTTCTATTCTCTCTCTCCCTCTCAAGCTAAACCTTATATCCCAGCCACAATTACTCTTTATGTACATAATGAAAATTATGATGAAATAAAATCTATACAGTCTCGTTATTGGCCGCGTTGTTAAACAAGAAACAATACATTAAGAATAGGTCTATAGAATAAGAAGAGGCCCGTATGTTGAATTAGTTTATTTATAACTTTCTTTGACGATTTAAATATATATATATAGTATAATTGTTTACTTCCTAATTTCATTAAATCTGAGCGAATACTCGTTTTTCAGACAATTTAAACCGTATTGTATGTTGCTTTGTGTTATAACGCTGTGTTTTATAGTGGGTAGGTACCGACGTTTCAGAGAATATGTTGCTCCCATTTTCCTCTGAAATGTAGGTACCTAGTTATCAGACTACACGATGTCATGACTCAGAACATGACAATATTAATTTTAATCACTGGGAGAACTTTATATTTCATACACACTGTAGCAACCGAGAAGTTATGAGGCGATATGTAGTGTTTTCAAGATTCGAACAATGTGGTAAGCCTAATTAATGTCATGATTGTCCTGTAAGCCTTTGGGTCCCGTCCACAGGGTAACTGTGACCCCTGGCCGTCTAGTACCGACGTCTGGTATGGGCCACTTCACTTTTACAACAGAATAGATGAAAACTGAAATGGCATGCCATAGCCCCTCCCCCCTCCACTGTAAGCACACTCTGGGAAGTTAGAAATACGAGTATAATCCTGCACCGTCACTGAGGAACTACGGTCTCGCTCATGTCGAAGGCCGATATTATTGCATTGACCACAGTGGTGACGACCCCGAGGCCGAGCACTACGTTGTTGAGCACTGCAGCTGTCTTCTGTTGGGTCTCTTCGGCGATGTCGTACAGTGCACCCAGGACCACGTTCACGCAGCTTCTCAGCAACTACGGAACAAAACATGCATTGAGTTTAGCACGACACTGGCCGACCAGCAGTGTCTACATAACATATGGAGATTCAGTTCCTACCTCACAGGAAACACCGGTTAATGCTGTTCATTCTGCGTCCATTCTCCACAGCGATTCACGAAACTTGCTGTGTCATTTGAGTCAGCAAATTCATTCATAGACACCCAGGCTAGTGAGCACTGCTCAGGCCTGGATAACTTCGATGCGGGAAACTGACGGACCAGACTTGGTGGTCTTCCCCCCCCCCTCCCCAAATTTTCCTCCTATCAGGCTATATAGGTATAGAGAAAAATCTCTGTTTATCTTTAGAATCACGCGGAACACATGGGTATACTGTGTTCACTGTGCTTTGAAGGTTTAACGTACGTGCAAACCCTTCCCTCGATCCTGAATATCATTGCAACTGTCAGCTTTGTCAGGAACGTTTGTTTCTTCTGTCTCGTGCTACATCTGGCCGATGGGTTTCATTTTCCCACCCCTTGCCAGAGAGATATCATGACATACGTAATGACCGTGAAGCACCTCAGCGTCCAGCTGCGGACTGCGCGAGGTACACAGAATTCCTTAGTTTCATAAACTTGCTCACTTGCAGCCCGTTTATACTATGTATATAAACTCTGATATACATTAAAGAGTTTATTTGTGGCCTAATTAGGCGTTCTTCTGGGCCAGTATGGCTGAGAACCGGAATTTCCGGGCATCTTTTGTGAAAAACTTGCATCTCGACTCCACCGTCAGGATATGTATTGGCTGGATGGATGACTGTCATCTTTTAAAAGCGTATTCCAGTCCGTGGAATATTACATAACGCTGTTTAATTACTTATTTCACGTTGTACTAAGCTTCTCTGCGGCAATGTGTGTGTACAGTGCGTACCAAGCCATGCCACACATATCCTGTCGCACTCGAGACCCTTCTGCGCAGCGCATTCGTGTCCGCAGCCGGTGTCCATCCGCTCCCTCTGCTGTACCCAGTGACTTGATCCTTGACTCAGTTGCCAGTGCTGCGTCCTCTAGATAGTGTCAGTGACGTAAATTCAACTATAATTGAGCTCCCAGCGTAATCTGAAGGAGACATAAAATGTTCTTATCACCAGATAGTCTTTCTTGCCTGTTAATTGTTCGGCTGAGATAGCGAGGCTGCGCAGTCGTGTAGAATGAGTGGACTTTAGCGTTGGGATTTGCATAAGCACACATGTCTGGGCTCCGTTGTTCGCTTCCAGAGGAATCCCCAGTTACTGTAACCCAGACATTTACGAGCGAATCTCCGTACAACCAGAAAAAGAAGCATGCTTCTTCCGTATTCGGGTCACAGGTTCAAACCTCGACTCAGAGGCTGTCTTGATTAAGGGTGAATCTTAATAAGACTATCTTGACTAAGAACGCTTGTGAGTTTCCCCAGTCTCTCAAGTAATACTCAATACTGCAATGACATGTACTCACTAGATCGGCCGTATTTTCGTCTAATTGTACGTTCAAGGACTTCACAGACAAATCTTGTTTTGGCTAAAATTTGACAGCAATAATGGACGGTTAGCACGAAGGCCTGCCTACATGTGTAGCATCCAGCTCGCGTCTCTTCTGTTCGTTAAGAGATAATGAGACAGAAGTATGCGTGAAGATTACTTTGTGATGCCGTACAGTCTGGTGTTTCGATGGAAGCAGGGTAGTAGAGTGGGGCTTCAGGCCGCTCCGAAACGTTGAGGCTGTACCGTAGCACGTCTCACTGTGGCTTACCTGCAGGGCTAAGGACACGGCGAGCAGCGTGAGCAGGAGCACGTCTCACTGTGGCTTACCTGCAGGGCTAAGGACACGGCAAGCAGGGTGAGCAGGAGCACGTCTCACTGTGGCTTACCTGCAGGGCTAAGGACACGGCGAGCAGGGTGAGCAGGAGCACGTAGTACGGGTGGCTTTCCCCCACCTCCAGCAGGAACTTCAGCTGGCTGACGTTGGCTGTCAGCAGCGCGATGTCCAGAAGACCCTGTGTGATGGTCTTCTTGGTCGCGTACTTATTGTGGCCAAAATCCTTTGAAATACAATGTACAGGATTACATTTTGCAGATTCGGGATACGAATATGTAGACGGCAGGGAGGACCTCTAACTGCTCTCTTCCCCCCAAGGCTGCTGTTTTCATATCATGCATGCTACATGCCTCGATAAGCCCATCCTTTACGATTTGAACGCTCTAATAGTATTTGGTGGAGTCCAAATTATGGATCTCCTCATTGTGAAATATGCTCCACCCTCTCCCCCCGTCTGCGTTGGTTCTGAGGTTCTCACCGTGCTGACTGTGAAATGTAACATCTTCTGGGGCGTGACGCCGTGCAGTTCAGTAGAAATGTATCGACGTTTCAGAGGTTCTAGGTGTAAGCCAAGGAAACAGCAAGCAGAGGATCGTTGACCCGAAAGGTAGAGGCAGTGTGTCCCTCCGAAACGTCCACAGACATTTACCAGTCTGTACGGCGTCACATTCCAGACGGTGGAGCTTTCAATCTGTGTCCATCCCTTCATTTGAGAGGCCGAAATAAGAACACTCTTTAGATAGTTAACTTTATCCTCATATTTGTGTGGAGCAGACTTAAGTGGGCAGATCTTAGAGATTGATGGTGTCGACTGGATCGATCTGGCTCAGGATAGGGACCAGTGGAGGGCTCTTGTGAGCACGGCAATGAAATTCGGGTTCCGTAAAATGTTGGGAAATTTTTGAGTAGCTGCACCATTGGGGGCTTCTCAAGAAGGGCTGAGCTCCATGGGTGAATAAGTGAGTCGCATATCTGCTTCATGTTCCGGACACCCTGGCCTCGCTTTCCTTAGTCACCCCAGGCAAATTCTGCGATAGTACCTCAAATTAGGCCACCACCACTTCCTTGAAAAGTCTTTCCAATTCTGCAGTAGTACCTCAAATTAGGCCACCACCACTTCCTTGAAAAGTCTTTCCAATTCTGCAGTAGTACCTCAAATTAGGCCACCACCACTTCCTTGAAAGTCTTTCAGATTCACCGGTACTCCCACCACTCGACCCTGTACAGTCTGGGCTGCTAACATCGCCGTTAAATAAATACATGAATAAGAAGCTTTGTTCCTGTAGGAGGATACAGTAACTTACTGACGAGTTGGACGCCATTGTGGCACTTGCACTTGCAGACAGTGGCCTGAACACTGGGAGCCCTGCGTCTCAATCTGTCTCCGTTCGCGATAAACCTCAAATCTTATCTCGATACTGCGGTCACTTGAACTGACCTGTTTTGTTGTGTCGGTGTTGTTTGTTATCTTTACTGCGGTGCTGTGCGGGTGCTTGGGCCGCAGGCGTATCAGGCAGGGGAAACTGCCTGCCGCAGTGCCACTTTGTCGGCCACAAATCCCACTTGGCCCTCCGCAGTGAGGAGCGGACCGCCATTTAAATAACGCTTGCTTACGAGACTGCAGTGTCTAACCGGAATATAGAGCAGATTCTGAAGTGCTTTAATCGCATTGCCACGTGTAGGGGGGTACGCGTGACGAAAATAACGGTTTCTGGTTCGGATGATTGGATTTATTGGCACTTCGGTTACACACTCTCTTTCTTAATTACAATTAATACAGCGATATCGCTAATTTACAGTTTGCCGGTGCACACGCAGTGGGATTCTACGTCTTCACTAGTCGTCTTCTGGCAACGGATCTCAACACACAAACTAACGCTTCAAATCACTATGAAGTCTACTTGTTATTTCGTCTTTAATCACTCTGTACTCCTCTGTCCTAATCTGTACTCAATCAGTCTTCACAGTTCACTAAGGACATGCTCCATTCTCGTCCTTATAGTCCCAACTGCTGAACCCTCCTGGACTCTCCTTAGCTGCAAGCGGACTCGGGTTATATAGCCGAGGCACGGACAAGGCAGAAAACAGTTCTGTCGTTGCATAGCGCAAGCCCCACAGAAAACAAGTGACGTGATAGCTATCTCGCCAGTCTTTTGGTGCGCTGACTGTTCCCTAGCGACGAGTTATAAACATTCGTCCTATTGTTGGGTGCTCGCGTATCACGGGGTGTTTATCGAGCCGTTGCCTGGCAATGCATTGACATGTCACACTATTTACAGATAGCTCGTGTGTTCACTTGTCTTGTTGTATGAATAACAATAATAATCCTTGACGAGCCTCGGGGGCAAGGTGTGATCCAGTCTGTTCAACAGCATAGCCCGCGATATAGGGTGAATAAAAATCTTATGATGATGTGTAATGGCAATAATGATGATAATGTGAGCCTCCCACAGTGCGCGGTAGCAGCAACTCTGTAGCCTTGCATGCGGAGGTAGTCGGTTCGAATCTTGGCCGTGACACGGGCTATCATGACCCAGTTTTTCGTGGAGACAATTTCGGAATATTACCTCGATTAGAGCACTGCCACTTCCTTCCAAATCCCTCCCGGTTCATCAGTCATCTTACCATTCGGTGCTGCATAATCTGGATACTCATAGCTTCGTGACGTGACCCGCAAGAACGGAGCACAGCGGCAACTGCACGAACAAACAAACTCGATTCTCTGTTTGAGGATGAAGAATCACTGCCTGTTTATCATCATCTTCAGCAGTCAGCTGTGACAAGCTGCGCGTAAACTCATTGAATGCCATTGAATGGTATTGAATCTCAGTGTCGGTCGGTATACATAGCGATGCGTCACGGACGGGGAACGCTGTTGCGGCGGCCGGAATTGACGTCATAAATATTAGTTACGTCGGAATTTTGGCGGAGGATATATATCACGGGAGTTTTTTTCTTCTTCAAGTTTTTGGTAACAAAAATGACTGCAAAGGAAAACTGTTACTCTCTGCCGAACTGTAATGTTACTTTTCGTTTATATGGGTTTGGTCAGGATGTTGAGGGAGCAGAAATACGGTATGGAGGAAAATACATAAAGAGGAGCTTCATAATTTGTAGGCCCCATACTCTTCACCAAATCTCATTGGGATGAATAAATCAAGGCCAGTGAAATTGACGGGGTATGTAGCACGCATGGAAGCAGGAGAAATATGTGCAGAACTGTGGCCAGAAATCCTGAAAGAACCCACTTGGGAGACCTAGGCGCAGATGAGAAAACGCGTAATATCAAAGTGGACAATACAGAAATATGTTTAAAAACATCCCGAGTATGTTGTTATATTTAATTTTGTTCCTAATTGGGGCTGTTTCTTTGTTCAGGAGCCCAGCCAACATGAGGTAGTGTCATGGTGTCTGTGCGCGCCAGTAAGACTTGTGGAGGGCCAATAATTTATTTCACTGCCGCTGCTTTATAGTGTCTGGTTAGAAGGTCACAAGCAATGATTCAATTACGGGCCTTCTGTGGGGTTGGGGGGAGCGAATGAAAGGAAATCCAAGGCACTTCGACTTCGTTTGATTTATATGCGTTCGGTAGAGCCATTGATCATAACACAGCACCCGCTGCACCTGTGTTGCCCCTCATAGCGACGCCGTAACGGTCTGCACGCCGTCGAATTGCAAGGTGATAATTCGAAAGGAAGCAACGTGGCCTAATCGAGGTACTGGAGGGACTGAGGAGAACGCCGATAAGCCCCTTCCAGTAAAGCTGGTGTTCCCGGCGGGCAACCGCCCGAACACAAGGGTTACCGCTGCGCCAACCTGCTCTGTTCCCCTACGAATAATATGTTTGGGCCAATTGTTTAACTACGCTGTGAGTAAATCAGAACGGTAGGATGATAGGTGAACGATAAATTGGAAGGGACATGGAAGGAAGTTGTCGTGGTCTGCTTTCAAATGCCGGTCTTATCCCGGAATTTTCGGGGGAACTGAGGAGGACCGCGAGAAATATGTCTGTGTTTCTGTTCTCCCACAGGGGTGCTACATAGTATTCGGAAGGTTGCCGGTTCGAATATCGTTCAGGTTACCGGCTATCCTGACTGAGGTTCTTCGTGGTTTTCCTGAGTTCCTGCAGGAAAATGCTAAGATAGTACCGCGATTTGACCACGACCGTTTCCTTCCACATCCCGTCCAATTCATTATCCAGCAAATCATCGTATCGGTCGATCTTCATCGGCTGGTATGCTTACAGCACTGTGAAATAGACCATTCACTGAACTGAATGGAACTTGTATGCGTAATCATGATCATTAGCAAGCAGCACAAAAGGCCCTGCTGTTACGCCGCAGTCGGCCCTAAGTTACACGGGCGAGAAGCCTAGCACTAGACGCTGTGCTTCTTGTGACGGCCCTGTCAGTATCTAGACTATGGCGTCGAACGGTAAGATGAAGGATTTGGGAGGAAGCTATCGTGGTGTGGAGGGACTGCGCAAAGCCACGAAAAGCCTCAGTCAGCATAGCTGCTGTATGAGCCGAAATTTGAACCGAGTACATCCCGAAAACCATTGTTAAGGCTATGCCAACTCGCTAGGTTTTCCCTTATAAATGTTGGGGGATTTAGTCAAGAATGTTAAGATGGACGGGCCCATTAGCACGGATAGGAAATCGAACGATAGAATTTTTCTGTGGGTATCTTTATGCACAACACTGTAACATTCTTGACAGAACAGTGTGGATGCCATACAGGTTGTGCAGCCGTGACTGACGATACGGTCCAGCAACGGGCTTTTCAGCCGGAATTGAGGAAAATCAGGAATCGTTAGACGGTCGTCATCTCTTTGAATCCTTACAGTAAACGCACTGCGTCTCCGCTACAAAGCCCAACCGGTTAACGCTGTTTAGGGAAACAGTCGCTGTTTACTGTGAGAATCATACGGAACACACAGATACACTGTGAGGGCAGAATGCAGAATTTAGTATGTTCAGTCCGTACCTCACAGGAAACATTACGTCTCCGCTACAAAGACCAACCGGTTAATGCTGTTTAGGGAAACAGTCGCTGTTTACTGTGAGAACCATGCGGAACACACAGATACACTGTGTGGGCAGAATGCAGAGTTTTAGTATGTTCAGTCCGTACCTCACAGGAAACATTACGTCTCCGCTACAGAGCCCAACCGGTTAATGCTGATTAGGGAAACAGTCGCTGTTTACTGTGAGGACCATATGGAACACACAGACACACTCTGTGGGCAGAATGCAGAATTTAATATGTTATAGCAGGCGGTACACATTAGGAACTGTTACAGACGCAGGTAACTGATAGCCACACGCGATGCAGAACTTCGGTTTCTGCCATTGATGTAAGGCCCCGGTATATCATTCTTCTAATTCAATTTAGCAGGAGAACAAAACAGTTGAAATGAATTACTTTGAGTGTACCCGTCTGCACAAATATACAATAATTGTGTGTTCTGTACTGAGTAAAAACTTTGGAACTCTTCGACAGCTGAAGATCGGTTTCTGGGCCCCTGCAAGCGTAATGATATTGCAATTTTGAACTAAGTTTGAATTTCCATTTGAACTGCAACTAAGGATCGTATCAGGAGTTAATAACAGTTCAAGTTGCCAGTGAATTCAGCGTCTGGTTGAGCGCAAGAATGGCGGATTTTCACACAGCGAAGACGCAATTCCTCGGCAGGGACTTCCTGTATGATAAATTGACTGAAATCTTTGAGAAAATTCTGTGATGCTTGCTTTGTCCCTATTCCCATTACTTCAGTAATTTAGGAGTGAGAAACATATATATATTTATTCGTTAAAAATTGTACTTCGGTGGCATGGTTGGTTGAGGCACTGTGCTCCAAGCCGGAAGTCGCGGGTTCGATTCCCTGTGAGGTCACTGGATTCTCCAGCCGCATAATGGCCTGCGGACGACTCAATCTCTAACAGAAATGAGTACCAGGAATCGTCCTGAGGAGTTAAAGGCGGCCGGTCGGCAGGTAAGTCTGACAGCCTTGCCGCCATCTGTGAGCCGATTGTCTGGAAAATGTGGAAACCTCGACGTCTCATAACCCAGTGGGCCTCCACGGCCTGTTACAGAGATAGCTTTAGTATTATAGATGCAGAAACCGTGAACATGGACCTGAAAAGTTGTGTTTTATTTGTTTATTTAATGATGCTGTATGTAACTCGGATTATATACGTTTAAATGACTGGATAAATGTGAATAACGAATTGGAATGGATCTGGAAGGAAGGGCTAGTGGCCAAATTTAAGGCATATTTGTGGAATTTACCCCGTGGGAGTGAGGAAGGCGGTGAGAAAGGTCCTTCAGGATTGCCGATGTCTGTGCCGAGTACGGACCCAACACTTTCCGAATGCAAGTCTGAAGCGTTGCCGCTTGGGGCAACTTAATTATTTTTTATATCTCTTGGTGGGGGGTGGAGTCCAGCTGGGTCCAAATGCACGGCGGTCGCTGATTGGCCTATTGTAGCTTACCCCGGGTGATTATGATGATGGAGAATTTGGTGTAATGAAGATTGGCAAGGGAAACCGAAGTACTNGATTTGTGTTGGACAAAGTGGCGCTGGGGCGGGTTTTCTCCGAGTACTTCGGTTTCCCCTGCCAATCTTCATTCCACCAATTGCTCCACAATCACCCTCACCTACCATCTGGGGCTGCTACAATAGGCCAGAAGTTGCCGCAGTACAAGGGACTTAGTCCCACCCCACTAGCAATAAAAAAACCGCTTGGGACAACTTGCTTGCTGTTTAGACCTGAAGTCATAAATATGTACTCTCAATTTCAGATAAGGCAAATGTGTCATTTCACCCACGTGATTTTATTTCATAAAGAAAGTTGGTCGAGTATTAAGTTCAGAGGTGACATCAGTAACAAATGCCCATAACAGGGCGTTGAAAATACATGGAGCTAAGAGGGATGAAGTAGTAGGGGTTGCAGAGAATTGCATAATTTGTGTTCTTCACCAAATAGGCAAGCCCTCGCCAATTCGGATTAATTGGTTAGATGTCCGGATTAAGTGATAATCCGAATTAATGAAGCCAAAAATAGCCCTGAAAGACAAAAAAAAACTCAGAAACCAATAAATGGAAAATTTAATAATATAAGTAGTGCTAATGAAAAAAAAAATGAAAAATATCTTTAGCAATTTCTTCCTCTGTCAGAAGCTGAAATCCAGGGTCACATTTATCCAGCTGAAGCCAGTTTTTGATATTTGCTGGCGCGGTTTCAGTCTCTCCAGCTGCCCTCAGCACAGTCTGAAAGTTCTCTTGCTCCTAAATGCCATGTGTACTCAACTGTGAACAGAATTTTTCATATTTCGACCCGGATTATCCGACATCTGGATTAACTGCAAATGGATTAGCGAGAGTTTATTGTATTACTAATATGGTCAAATCAAGACAGATGGGATGGTTGGAACATATGGCACGCATTTGAGAGCTCATAATTGCTAACAAAATTCTGTCTCAAAACCTGAATGCAAGAAGTGTCTTGGGTGATGTTTCGGAGTGATGTATCTGGCCCGGGGTGAGCTTCCGGGTTACATGACTCACTCGGAGCCGAGCCCTTCTTGAGAAGCCGCCAATTGTGCAGCTTCTCAAAAACTCCCCAGCATTTTATGGAACCCGAAGGTTCATTACCGTGTTCACAAGAGCCCTCCACCTGTCCCTATCCTGACCCAGACCCATCCCATCCTGTCTCCCTAAGACCCATTTTAGTATTGCCCACCCACCTACATCCTGGTCTTCCCAGAGGTCTCTTCCAGCTGGCTTTCCCACCAATATCCTACAAAGGGATTTCTCTAGTAGCTAAGCGACTGTTAGCATCTCAAGGACTGCACGACAACAAGACGGGCGATAATATCGAAACAGCACGTGTGACCTTTTTATTGCTTTGTATTCGGGAGGCAGCGGTTAGATTTTCGTTGTTGGGCCGGATATTGTGATGGATTGTTCCGTGGTTTTCCTCCTGGCATAGTGCATAATGTCGGCCCCGGATACTTCATTCCCTTCCGTCTTTCGCACATTCGAACTATCATTGGACTCTGAGTAACACATGTGACTGAAGAAATGTCGTTAAATATTCCAAGACCAATCACTGAGAACCATCAGTGTTGTAGGTTTGCTTGTGGTCCTCTGGACCCAGCCGTAGGTTGGAACCGCGTACAAGTGGAATTCCCCCGCCTGTGTACCAAGTAGTCCTCGTGCTGGGAATTGCCAAGTCCCGGGTTCAGATCTTGCTGTGGAGGCTGGTTATCCTTATTGAAGTTCTTAGCGGGGTTTCCCCAGTCCCTCCAGGAAAACTCCGTGCTGAGGCCATTTTCATTTCAATTCGTTGTTTACTGATCACCCTGCCATTCGACGCCGTGTAGCGACGGTGGGAAACATTTTGCCGAGGTAGCTGTGTGAGCTCATTAACTGAGGGCCCTCCGTGCGAATTGGCTTATAAGTAAGTTGACGGGACCGTATGCGATTCTTACTGAGGCTACATAGCTCAATTGCAGACGTGACTTATTGAGGTGAGCATATTGCAATGGAAGTGAGAGCGTCACATGCTCGTTAGAAGAGAACGCAGCTATGTAATGTGACAGAAAGGGTCAGGAAAGAGACTGTTATTGATTTTTCCTCCCTCTATCCTTTCGTCCTACTTCTATCCTTCTCTCCTCTCTCTGACAGTGATGGAGAAACTGGAGGGTGGGTTTCAGTAGCGCCGTCCACCTACTGCGCATGTCAGGACTGCACGACCATTGTTCTATTTGTATGTTGGATGTTTTCAAATGCTTACTAATGGAATGAGAGTCGTAGGGTCTGTATGTCTTGTTTAGTCACAAAACATTCTAATGTACAATTTCAGGGACACAACAAACAATTTTGGGTCAGAGAGTATAGCGTCCGTTTCATATCGTTATTGAACGGCGGCCATGACGGAAAATGCGACGCTTCTGGCGCCTATCGGAAGATGGCGGGGGTAGTGCTGAGTGCGATGGGGTCTGACAGTTGAAACCAGGATCTCCAACATAGTGATGTTGCTAGTATGGTGGCAGGGAACCTGTTTGTCGAAAAGGAATCTCACCCAGCAGAGAATTGTGTACTCAGAAGAGGGAAGCGTGTCGGACGAGACAAGTTCAGTTGCTTGCTTCTGAGTTTTTGTTGTGGTGACAGTGGGCCGAGCGCTGTGTGTGATCGCCAGTTGTTGCGCCGTGTGAAATCTGACGGAAACACCGTCGGTGTAAATGCTGTTTGTTTTAGTGTTTTCATTCCTTTTCCTGAAGCCTGAAGCACACGGATGGGATGCTTGTTGTTATGTTCAGCTGCTGTTAGAGAAAACCGTTTGGTTTGTGATATCTGCAGCTTCATTTCGGTGTAGAATTGTAGTGCATTTCTGCGGGCTGTGCGCCTCGCCGTCACATCTGCCACCATCTTGTAGTGATATTGTGCAAACTTCTCGCGAATTTGTTCGGCGTGTTATACGAACCGCGATAGGTTTTAGTACGAGAGTCTGCAAACGGTAAAATGGCTTTCAAATATCTTAACACATAAAGAAGACAAATTGGATATAAATGAACATTGTTGTTTCGTTGGTGTTGTTTCAGTGTTTAGTTGTAATCACCCGGTTTCTTGTGGCTCGTTGTGAACAGGACGGTGTAGTGTTGTCTCGAATAATATTGAGAGATACATATGCAGTTCTAAAATTACTTTGTTAAAATGATACTTATCAGAGACATGCGTATTATTTTCGTTATTTCTAATTCATAACAAAAAATAAAACCACGGAACATTTTAATTTGAGAAATTTAATCTCATGACTTCACAGTTTCCACTTCTGGCCTACGGACTAACGAGTTAGTGAAGTACTAGTCTTTGAACTTGCGACAAATACAGCAAAACATCTTTGTAATAAAATTATAAATTGTGAAAGCATCGATTCATATTTTGTTAGAAATATGAGGTAATTTTTCAATTATGTATTTATTTTTAACAATTACAGCTGTAGATTTATGGGTTGGTGACATCTTTTGAAGGCTGGGTTTGTTATTTTCAATTTCGATATATGCAGAGACGCAAAATATAAATTACTTTTCTAACACATAACGAATAATTTCCATATGTGATGTGATTTGAAGTTCAAGTACTTTTTAAAGCAAGACGTATGTTTCAGTTCCAGTTGCGGAATGATACATGTTGTTCAACTGCCGAAACGTCCGATAGCTTCACTGTTGTAACTAACGGACGTGTGAATACAGTTACTAGCTCTTGGAACATCGCCTATTTTTAGAACAAAAGTTGTGGTTTGTTCTACTTACGAAGTATCTCGTATAAGCAAGTTATCGGAGGATAAAAATTACGTAGAACTAAAACAGCATTGTTATTGGTCGTGTCGAGTATCTGTGAGTGTGTGTGAGCCTATTGGATTATCCCTTCCAATGCAAAATCGCCGGATATTCTGCTGCCCAATCAGGACCGTATAGAAGGTAAGAAACACTCTGCAACTTACATTCAGTGTCAGAGAAGATAATTTCTGTTGCTCCTCCTGTTAGCAATTCGCTTTCCACTTTCTCAATCTCTTTCCCCTGCTAAAACATTGCTCTATTTTCTGTCTCCCTCCGCCAAATAACCACACCCTATAGGCTAGATGGTTTGCTCCGTCCAGGCGCGCCCCTTCATTGTCAGCTGTTACGTTTTACGTGGATAGGGCCCATGTTTCTCTTGTTCGAGATGGTGATGATCCAAAATTCTGCTGGGGGCAACCGGTGCTTACTGGTCCCCGTATTCAAGTAGTGTGACCACACGGACCTTACGCTGTACTACTGCTCTGAGCTCTTGAACCTTCAGATGGGACCTTTCGCATATTGGCGGTCACTAACCAGTGGCCCGCAGTATACTGACGGCCCGCCCTTACTTTCGCTTATAGGGTGGTCCAACAGCGACTCTAACCTGCGGCTGTTTGATATGTATACATTGACGGATGTTACATCATGACCGCCTCTGTGGTCTAGTGGTGAGGATTCCCAGCGCTACCAGATTTTCTGAGAAGCAGTGGGTCTGGAACGGGGTCCACTCAGTCTCATGAGGATAACTGAGGAACTATTTCAAGGAAATAGCGGCTCCGGTCTAGAAAACCGAGATTAACGGCCGTGGGGATTCGTTGCGCTGACCACTGGACACTCTCTATCCGCCAAAGTTAGCACTAACTTCTTCTCTGAGAAACGGCTGTCACTCGGTCGGTATAGTTAGCTTGCGGACTAAAACCACGGAGTTTGTTTTTTTATGTAACATTCTTCGTGTTCTGAAGGTGCCCGGTTGACATCCTGATTGCAGTGTTTTGTGGTTTTCGTTAGTGCCTCCATGCAAATGCCGCTGGTAATACTTCGAATTAGGGTACAACTGTTACCTTCCACGACTTCTCCAACTCACCGTCAGTGACATTAAATAAATTATAATTAAATAAACATAGGCGTAATGAAATGTTAACGCTGCGCCTTGTACTGGCCAGTCAGAAAGGTTTGTTCCGCCCCCTGTAAGAGTCCACTTCCTTTGTGTTGTCTCCAGGTTACGATCTCTCGATTCAGCACTTCCGTAAGCGTTGGGCTGTAAAGGTAAAAAGGGTAGAGCTATTCTTGCAACAGGTTGAGGAGGCCCATAGGGTTGTGAGACGTCGAGTCCCACATTTTCTAGACTGTCGGCTCACAGATGGCGGTAATGCTGTCAGCCTTACTGACTGGCTGCCCATTACCCCCGGGAAGATTCCTGGTACACATTTCTGTTAGCGGCTGAGTCGACCCCAGGGCCATAGTGCGGCTGGAAGGATCAGATCAACTGAAAAATCCAATTACATCAGGAATCGAACCCGCGACATTCCGGCTTGTAGCAAGGGCAGTAGATAGCGCGTGAGCGTTAGCCTGTAAAGCATCAAGGCGCAGTGGTTGCTATAGAAATCTTCATCTTGCCCACACAGTGTATTTATGTGTTCCTTGCGGTTCTGACAGCAAACCGTGATTATTCTCCCAAACAGCATTAACAGGCTGGCCTTTGTAATGGAGATGGTGTGTGTTTTCTGTCGGGTAGGAACTCAGTTCTTAAATGTCATCAGAGTTAAAGGCAGTTAGCACCCAGACCATGGACTGTAGTGACAGCGGAACTGAAACGGTCGCAGCGTTGCGTGTCTACTTCTGAGGCAGGTACTGTCATTGAAGTGTGGATGAATGCCCAAGGAAACGCTTGGAACCGTTCAAAGTGCGAAGCTGAATTGGAGAAGCGTTTCATCTATCCTCTGTGATCAGACGGTATTTCGGAGGAAAATATCGCTTCCACTTCAGCTGTCTTCTTCATGATTTTTTCTTGCTTGGCGTACACTTTGTCCCTGAATGTGAAGGCGTCACATCCCAGAAAATGGAACCCTTCATAGTCACCGCTGTGGAACCTCGAACCTAACGTTATCTGGAGAAGTATCGTTCCTATCACCACAGTGCTCACTGTTCTGGCGGTAATTTCGCTTTGATGTTTACTTAAATCACCGCTGTTTTTAGGAGAATCAGTTGAAATTTACGTACAGAATGTCTCAAAAGTGGGTCAGCCTAAAATATTCTCCCGTATTGACGGGAATGTTCAGATTTAAACGTGAGAGTCAAGTTTACGGAACGGTATCGCCGCGGTTGCTAGTAAAGTATTTAGTGTACTTGACTGACTTTTGGGCCACCGTGCAATGTCTCTGGCTGAAACATTGAACTCTCTAATTGTGTGATCTTACTCGTCACCTGCTTCTGCCTCTCACATCTGTACGGGCGTTTTATTTAATCCGAAGAGGGAGTGCGAGGCAAGCCGACGGCGACGTGCGTCAGTCTCAGAGCCCGAACTGCTGGTTGGGCGACGAAAAGAATTGCCGGTTCACGTTACGTACTAAGTTACATGAGTCGTTGCTGACGTGCCTCACAGTTTGTATTCAATTGTATGTCTTATATGTGAAGGTTGTGTCTGTCCGTCTGTCAGCGCGTAAACCGTTGGACAGATTCGTTTAAAATTCGACGCGGGAGACGCTCACTGAAAGTTGTCGGGCAGATCAGATTTCCGGCCATATTGATCCACATTGCATAAGGTCACGGAATTAACTGTGTCATGTATGTCGTGAAGCATTAATGAGAATGTTATTAAATTCAGTGTGAGAGATCTGTGCATAACGTTAGTCAGCCATTCGCGCATTAGAGCTCCTGCTTTGCATAATTCCGTTAATGGACTTTTCCAGGTAGCCCATTAGAGGTTCCACATATTGTGTTGCAATTCGATACTGTGCATTATGATGCTGTTGAATTATTAATTTTACTCATTTTGTATAATTATTTTGTGTTTTGCTGAAATGCCGTTTAACCCGGCCGCAGACAAACTTAATAAACTGAAAAGAACGCCTATGGGAATTTTGTATGCTAGGTTACGGAGTACCTTCGGGCTCCATAAAATGCTGGGAAATTCTTGAGTAGCTGCAGAATTGGCCGCTCCTCCAGAAGGGCTCAGCTCCTTGAGTAAGTAAGTAAGGTTACGGAGTACACGTTTTCTATTCTCATATATTGCTTCGAATAACTGCGAACTTTATGAAACGTAGGTTCTTTCACTGAGTGTGTCGGATACGGTAAATAAACCCAATTCAGACTTTGTTCGAGTCCTTTGAGTAAATATCGCAGGCCTGGAAACAAATCCACAGCTCTTGCTATTTTCACTATGTTAACCAAACCCCGTATAAAGTTAAAGTTTCTCACTCCAGAGGGTTTCAAAACTCATATTGAAAATCCATGTCTTATACGTTATGTAAGGGGCCACGCGGTAGCGTAGTTGGTTGAGGCACTATGCTATAAGCCGGAAGGTCTTGGGTTCGAGTCCCGATGAGGTGGAGAATTTTTTTCAATTTACCTAATCGTTCCAGCGGCACTATGACTCGGGCGTTGACTTAGCCTCTTAACAGAAATGAGTACCAGGAATGTTGGTGGGTGGGTGGCTGGGGGGGGGCGTTAAAGGGCGGCCGGCGCGTTAGGCTGACAACCTCACCACATCTGTGAACCGGTTGTCTAGAAAATGTGGGAGCCTCGACGTCTCACAGTCCTATGAGCCTTCACGGCCTCTTACAGGGGCAGATTTACCTTTCTTTTTTACCTTACACATGTAGAAAATAATTTGTTTGTATTTCATATAACTTCAGAGCATTTAGTACTGCCTCACAGTTCGAGCTTTGAGTTTTGTAGAGTTCTTCAGAAAAACTTCATCTGTACGGCGGAACTAATATGAGGCACATAAACTGTGTATAAATCATCTTTAGAAAATTCCTTACTTCTACGAGGTAAATAAGATACAAAGATTCAGTCCGTACCTCACAGGAAACATTACGTCTCCGCTACAAAGCCCAACCGGTTAATGCTGTTTAGGGAAACAGCCGCTGTTTACTTTGAGAACCATACGGAACACACAGGCACACTCTGTGGGCAGAATGCAGAGTTTTAGTATGTTCAGTCCGTACCTCACAGGAAACATTACGTCTCCGCTACAAAGTCCAACCGGTTAATGATGTTTAAGGAAACAGTTGCTGTTTATTGTGAGAACCATACGGAACACACAGATACACTCCGTGGGCAGAATGCAGAGTTTTAGTATGTTCAGTCCGTACCTCACAGGAAACATTACGTCTCCGCTACAGAGCCCAACCGGTTAATGCTGTTTATGGAAACAGTCGCTGTTTACTGTGAGAACCACACGGAAAACACAGGCACACTCTGGTGGCAGAATGCAGAGTTTTAGTATGTTCAGTTCGTACCTCACAGGAAACATTACGTCTCCGCTACAGAGCCCAACCGGTTACTGCTGTTTAGGGAAACAGTCGCTGTTTACTGTGAGAACCACACGGAACACACAGATACACTGTGGGCAGAATGCAGAGTTTTAGTATGTTCAGTCCGTACCTCACAGGAAACATTACGTCTCCGCTACAGAGCCCAGCCGGTTAATGCTGTTTAGCGAAACAGTCGCTGTTTACTGTGAGAAATACACGGAACACACAGATACACTCTGTGGGCAGAATGCAGAGTTTTAGTATGTTCAGTCCGTACCTCACAGGAAACATTACGTTTCCGCTACAAAGTCCAACCGGTTAATGATGTTTAAGGACAGAGTCGCTTTACAATAAGTACGGTGGCTACATCTGTTAAAAAGATGCGTGAGTATTGTGGAGAAAAAATTGGACGCGTTTCGAATCCTCATTCCCAATATTTATTTTTAACTACACGAGTAAATCTTCATTTATTAACATGAGTGTCATTAGTTCTGAACCCCGGGCGAATGGCAGGCGTTTTCTTGTCTGTATCCTTTATGACATTTTCTGACGTCATAGTGTTCCGCGTTTAGTAGTGGATTGTGTTTTATCAGTGCATAAGAAACGCTTCCCCTTTGCAGGGTTCCGTTATCTTTAATTCGTAAAGGCATTCCCTGTTGTCCA